TCAATGGGATGATTCTGCTTACGATGACATTTTTTGATTCTGGATTTATTTCTTGTACTTCAGCATTTTTTCGCAAATTTTGCTTTTGCTTTGTGCTGGTGACTTTTTACATTTTGTTGTACAGCTGTTTCCATTCATAATTTGCTTCTTTACAATTCTTTACATTTTTTGATAGTGTGCTGATAGTGATGATAGTGAACAAATTGAATGCGCTAGCAGTATCTAGCTGCACTGTTGCTGTACTGGTTTAATACCACTGGTACTGGTTCGATTTCGTTGTCGCGTCTTGTTGTTATGGAAAAATGTGGACACTATGGTACTAGGGGAGCAGCACGCGTCCACATAGGTTCAACGGGAAAATTCACCGGCAGCGCGCAAGCGGCGCGTGCTGAGTGTCGTCGTTGCGACGGGAAGGTCAAGAAGGTTAGAGTGTCAGCGTCCTGCAACATTCCAAGGGCCAGAAACTCGTGATAAACAATGAGTGCATACGTGGGGGGGGGGGAGAGGGAAGGCGGCAGCGGAAGATGAATGGATTATATTCTGGAACATCGACCGAGGCAGTGGTTGGCAAGCGTAACAGATTTCATTCAGAGCATGGCGTAGGTTGCTGATTAAAAGCGAAAGGGTCTCATGTTGCGAAACTTACTTTCTAAGGGTAGACGTGTAATAATTTCATTCTCATTAGAGGGCAGTGACAGCGAAGGTGGTCATTGCTTTTCTATTGCTGATGCATTCGTTGTGGCAGCGCTTTATGACGCGCCGCATACGCATCGCCCGTGGTTTTTTTATGTTCTCGGGCCTATATGGGCGTTATCTCCGGACGATAACGAGTTGGTACACAGTGTTTTGACGAGTGGCACTGATTCGTCCGCATCGTGTAAGAACATTTCGCTCAACAGCACGTCGGTGGGAAGAGGTCGCGTCTTATGGTTAGATAACAAACTTTTGACAGCAGTTCCTCTATTTCTTCTATGTTGTGATGCTTTTCCAAGGGGAGAAGTACCCTAGTATTGTGCTGTCTCGGAGCCTCATTGCAGTCCGATTGTAAGACATGAAAGAGGCACCAAAAATTTATTGCAAAAAAACTACACGTATAAGTACCGGGAGACGGGCAAGAGAGTCGTAACTTGTCGCTCCGCCGCGCGCAGCGATGGGCGCGGCGTTTTCTTAACTCGTGTTAACCTGTCGATTGGAGCACCGGACTTCATGTAGACCCCGTCATCGTAGATTCATGACTATTTTCGGTTCTGAATTGCCTGTTGTCGCCATCTACTACCTGGAACCATCGTCATTTGCGGGCGCGACGTCGCACGCGACGCCCATCAGCGCGGCCAATTACGATTCTCTTGTCACATACCCTTGAGTACCATTTATTTCGCTAGGTCTGTGCTTATTATAACATACCATGATCTTAAAAGACAGTGTTTATTCATTCTTGCGTCCCCATTGCTGACATAGCGCTTTTTTTGGCCGTTGATGTGGAAAAAGACTTCTGTTTTTTTTGCGAGGGCAGTAAAAATCTATCTTCTTGAATTAAATTATGGTAGAATCACAGTAATGTATGCGATAGAAACATTGCTGATACTAACATCGTCCTCTTTTCTCAATTTTGGAATATGGATCAATTTTACACTCCATGTCCGAGAGACAGGATAAAAGCGGAGGTGGTGTAGTGACAAGGCGCGCTACCACTCGCGCGCGGCGGTTCAATCCGGGTAACTCCCGCCGAGGCCAACCAGGCCTTCTAACCTCGCGGACGGTAAACTTGTAACCAGTCTTCGACCTGGAGAATAAAACACCCTAGTTGTACCGACGGTTGTTCGCTGGCTACCGCATGTTCATAGTAATACGCACTTCGCCATTCATTTAGCCACTGAACGGATTTTGATTGAATAGAATCGTGCCGCATCTCACAGAGGATTGCATCAACGGCTGAAAACTTTAATCCTTTTATCCTGCACCGAGAGACCTGGAAGGATTGGTCGGTCGTATGGCTAATTCGTAAGTTGGCAGACGAAAGCACCTCTTGTGGATTATTTTTGTCTTGGAAGAGTTGTAAGTAGTTGGTAATAATGTCTCTACACACAGCACAAACAAGATGACGTTTTTTTCCGAATGTGGAAGTTTGTCACGTGGTACGCGTCATGTTCAATGAAGTACGAAGCCACGCCCGCCCCATATCCGGGACATGGGATGCGCTTGTCCGTTTATGGCTGACATCGTCGGAGTCAGTCCAGGCAGTGTCAGAGGGTGTGGAGGGAACTCACTCTGTTTTTCACATACCATATTGATCGAATGGGAAGAAACAAAGCATTGGTAAAACGATTCGGCTGGGCTCATTCAGCTTGTCTTATGGTGGCGCCCCATTTGATTTTGACGATGCGATCTGTTAGCGGCTAAGAAAACTATTCTGTCATTATCAGTGTCCATGGACGTGATAAATGGGACAATGACTGATGTGGTTTTAATCTTTTGCATGATCCTAAATGCAGCAACACCAACGTCCCCGTCCATTGAGAAGTTTTTTCGATAAAAATTGATGCCCAAGTTGCATATTTCCATATGACCTGTCTTCTCCAAGTTACTGCGACCTACTGAATAACTGTCCATCGATGGGGGGGCATGGACACAGGCCCACAAATAATAAATACAGAAATCAAGAATACTTCACATGTGGAATGTAGATGTGAAGAGGTTTTCGAGCCAAATAACGTACTCCCATCCTCTAGTCGCTAGGGATTTGCAAGCGTACGAACGACTTGTGAATCTTGTGAAACTACGAAATGGTGTGAGTGAGCTGCTTTGGTCAGGGGAGTTTACAGGTTCCAAGAGGTAGCTTGTGTAAGCTTCAAGCCTAACAGCGTCCAAATGCCCATAACTCCAGAGGAGGCGCGCTTCAACATAAGCATGGTGACGCGGCGTCCACTTTCCGGTGGAAGTCGTTTCTTGTTCGCCTTCTCCGACATTAGAGATCTTGTGAAAAGAAGTAAATGCTGGAATTGACAATCGGTGAAGCGGCTAGGGCGCATAGGTTTTTGTTGACCCTACTTAAATGGAGAATGGCCGATTTTTTTTCATTTTTTCTCACCCTTTTCACATATTCTCCCACTCGTCCTCCTTTATTTCTCCGATTCTCCTGCTTGGCGCCAGAGGTAATCAATACTTGGCGCCACGGGGTGAAGGTTAAATGGCGCACTTGCCAAGTGTACACTGCTACTGGGGAGCTGCCAAACGTTATTGCCGTCTTCACGTACCCCTCTGCGTCGGACAACTCGCTCGATTCCCTTGAAATGTGCAAGATGGCTCACTCGGAGCTCTTTCCTGTCCACAACATTACATTCCGCGGTTTGGCGTCTCGCGCTCCCAATTTTGTAGCTCTCTCAGTTCCGCGGATTCACTGGCCTTGTTTGGTTTGATTCTCCTTAAACACTGTAAGTTTATACTTGTTCAACATCACTTGAGGTTGACAACAACATTTATTGGCTGTCTGACGTTTCAATGAATTCACCCTTTTTGGGCCTGAAAGGATGGATGTCGATTCAGGAGACATACGACCAAGTGTCTTACAGGTTGACAGAGACCTTCGAGCTCATCTTATTTATCACGCAAATAATATGGATATGAAATTACCGTACCTTTGCAGATTCACTAAATTAGCTACGGCTAGCTGGCTGGCACAGACGAGCTGTCTCTGAACAGATCGCATCCAGAGTACCGTTTGCAAAGCCAATGTTACATAGGTGGTTGAGCTAGCGCCTAGTTGAAAATGTTCTCCTTTCCGCGAGCTACAAAATACCAGATAGGAGAATGCTTCTCATTAACGTGGGAGCTAACCCCCTCCCCCTCCCTATATTAGGTAGCTTTACAAACGGACTTTGAATGCAATCTGTTCCAAGTCTTACTCTCTATAGCCTTCTGGGCGTGGCTGATTTAGTGAATACCGAAAGATATCGTGATTTCATTTACCTATTATTTGTGTGATGAATGAAGTGGGTCAAAGATCTCCGTTGGGATGTGAGACAATGTGAAACAGCAGTTGGATAGCTCATGGCTCGACTTTCGCCGTTTCTGTTCACCGGAACGTCTGTCTGCCAAAAGCGTTGTTGTGAGCATTGTGTATGGTTGAAGAAGCAGTATAG